AGTAAGCTAATAAATTTTTAGTTTTCAAAAGGTAGTTACAGTTTAAACCTATGTTATGTTAGAAAAATCTACCATAAACCTTATTATCAGGGGCTTGAATTTGACAATTTAAGGGATATTTAAGGCTATATGTAACACATATCAAGGTTTCAACCTCAGCACTATTGATATTTTGGGTCCGATAACTCTTTGTTGTGGGGGCTGTCCTATGCACTGCAGAAGTTTAACAGCATCCTTGGTCTCCACCCACTATACATGCCAGTACCAGCCCTCTTCCCCCCAGTTGTGACAACCAAAAATGTCTCCAAATATTGACAAATGTCTTCCGTGGGGGGGGAGGAATCACCCCCATTGAGAACTATTGATAAATATGTCTAAAACAAAAACATAGCAGCTTACATTATACAAGGCTTTTCTTATACTATTCTTCAATATTGGTTTAACATTACACACTGTCTCTTTATAATCTAAATACCTTGTCCACATGTAAAATGAATTCTGTAACTAATACACAAAAATAAAAAAAAAATTAGAGAAACTGATAATGTCAGTGAATAAATACTCTATAGCTCAGAGCACTAAAGACAGAACAAATCAATCCAATTATGAATCCATTCTTCCTTACTGAGTAGGAAACTGTTTCATCAAAGAAGGGCATAATACTTGGGCTGGATTATAAATGCCACATTAACAGAAGCATGGAGATGTCAATGAATTAGAGCCTGGGAAAAATGTTTCTTACTACATTTACTTTTACTAGCACATTATATCCAGTAGATACTCAAAACACATTTTCTAATTGATCAACTAATCATTCTGATCTCTGCATCTATAACCTCCTATATTTTTTAAGACAAGATTTTTCTTCTTCTACCAAATTTTACCCTGGGAAAAGCATTTCAGAGAACGTATCTTGATAATAACAAATGATGTCTAAACTATACAATCATATATTTGAGTTTTTAATAATCTTTCCCCACAAACTCTCTTTAGAACTCTTTGGTGGACTTCATAAAAGATAACTATAAAATTTTCAGAATAGAAGTAAAGGTGCCTACCATGTGCACAGCCTCAAACAAAACATACGGTATATACCTGTGTTATGCCTTTCTAATTGTTTATCATAGTTTAAGGCTTTGCTCTCTGTCATTAAGATGTCACTAGATAGCAGTCTAATTCAAACTTTGGTATAATGTCTGAATTAGTCTCCAGAGAGTAAATATTTTCTTAGCTTGAAAGACAAGTAATTTTTCACCTGTAAAAAGTTATACAAGGTACAGTGGAAATTTCACTTAACATAGTCTCAGAAGAACTAGATTCAAATTTCACCACTTACTGATTTAAACTCGTATTAGGCAAGTTACAATCTCCCAGAGACTATTTTTATCTATCAGATGAAAGAAATAATGTCCATCCTCTTTACCTACCTCGCAGTCTAAGTCTTGGTAAATACTAAGTCACTAGCAAATATGGTATTATTTGATTTAAAAAATCTAAAAAGCAAAACATTTCTTTCCATTTGTTTTAATGCAGGAAAACTGATGAGGATTCCAAATGTGCGAAGTCCATGTCCCCTCTTTCCCTCTGACCCACATTATTCATCAAAATCTAACGGTAGCAATGAAATCCATTATCCTTTTTAAACTTTTTACAAAAATATCAAGTAAACATTTAAATTTAACTATTTATTAAAATAAACCACTAAATTCTCTTGCCTTTCTTGTAACTAAATTACACTAAGAACTTAGTATGTCAGTTCCCTCAGAGACTCACTGTATCTTGGGAGATAAGAGACAACCTCAAATACCTTTTCCCAGGTGGTTAAACTAGTGAGAAAGAAGGTCAGTTTCAAAGTTCACAAGTAATCGATGCTTCCCAGAGAAATCTTCTGATGTGGCAGAAATCATATTCGAGTTATGGTTCCGAGTTTATAAACTTTCCTCCCTTTCCCTAATATAAAGGATTATTAGTTTTATTTCTTCAAGATTTACATCACACTTTAACAACTGTGACAAAGGGTTCCCTAATCTATTTTATATAACACTCACGACCTCTGATAGGAAACAGAGTGGAATGGAATTCCTCGGATTTCTGGAGAAGAAAGAGGGCGCTTCTGCTAAAATCATCTTCTAAAATCCCAGGAAAACATCCATACTTAACCTGAATTCAATTAAAACTTGCTTTTACATATGATTTAAATAGTAGAGTATGCCATGTAACCCTGCCTTTGGAATACAGATTGAGATGGATGACATATTCAATTCTCCTTGGGGGGCGGGGGTGGGGGGACAAAACAACAAAAACAAAAGAAAACTATAGTACAGCAATGAAATGATTTGTTAAGGGTAAACAGAAAGACTATTACATAGCTATCCACTACAACACGACTGTTCTTTACTAAGGCAAATGCTTAAACTTAGAAACCAAATAAAATCTACTTCCATATTTATATCAAATCTTTGCAAATGAGCACTTTTGCCATTTTTCAGAGTATCAAAAGTATCTGACAATTCCTTATGAACAGCTGTCTAATCAATCCTCAAAGTTCTAAATCGCATAAACATTTTCCTAAGGCCGCCAAAAGCCTCAGATCCCACCTCAGTGAAAAGTGTTTCTTTGGGACACCGCACAGCACAGTAGCTTAATAGGGCACACAGCCTAACCTCTTCCAGATTCCACAGCTTAGGGAGTCAGAGAAAACTCTGGAAAATTTTTCAGAACTGATTTTAAAAATTGGTACATCAGATCTAGAACAAAAGCTAAGTAATTTGAATTGCCTAACCTGGAGTAAAGAGGCTAGGAAATAATTTAACAACATATAAAAAGCTATTTCAAAGATGAGGAGAAATACTTATGTTCACCTCTGCTGATGTTAAATGTAACCTGGAGATTCAGATTATGCATAAAATATCCAAAAATCACATTCAGAGAACGAGTTAACAAGGACAGGTAAGGAACATCCCTCCTGCATGTCTCTTGGATTAAATAAATCCTTATCTGCCTGCAATAATTTGAGTATAGTGCTGTCAGAAGACATTAGGAAATACTCCCTGACCTCTCAAGGTTTCTTCCAGCTCTTTATTCTCCTCTTTTGCTGTTGGCCTTTACTTGGTAAGTTTTCATGAAACTAAAAAAAATCTGAAAATAATCGCCAAAAGCTTATTCATTAATCAAATTGTAATAAAAACAATCCTAACATTTCCTTAAGTAAATTTAAAAAGAACTGCAAAGGTAAGGACTGGTAGCAGTACCTTCAATTCTAACGTCTACATGTGAAATCAAAACAGCAAGAAACCCACAAAGATAATAGCCACATAAAAACATGACTTTTAGGTACATATTAAAACGCAAATTCACATTTTCACCCTCTCACAAAACTCTGAAATATACTTCTGATCAAAATGCACAAATACTAACATATTTTCCTGACAGAAGTAAGGCTCCTCATGTTTACGGATACATGTAACCACAGAGTTAAAGCCTGGAAACCCAAGTACGTCTCAGATAACTTAATAAAATTACTTTCAGTATAATTGCTTTGTAATGAGTACTCACAATAGTGATCAGATAAACCTTTTTTGGTACCCAAAGGATGAGCCTGCACAAATCAATATCCGTAATATTAAAACAAGATTTACCTCTATCGTAGGATCATATTCATCCACAAAGTGATTCTGAATTAGCTGTATCGTCAAGGCACTCTTGCCTACGCCACCAGCTCCAACTACCACAAGTTTATATTCAGTCATTTTCAGCAGGCCTTATAATAAAAATAACAAAAATGTGGCTAAATTAGAACATGTGTCACACATGATGTCAATATAACCCATATCCTCTAGCAACAACAAATTCACCTTTATATAGAAAATTTCAAAATGCCTTATAAAATTCAATGATGAAACTTCAAAACACGAGTTTTGTAATGAACTGTACTTTGTTTACGAACTCCCCCATCAACATTTGAGAAAAATGCATTCAGCGTACACAGCCAATTCTTTTATCTTACATTCAGGTTATTCTATCCAAGCAGCCAGCCACTGCTGTTCTATAGGAGCCAATGGCTCTCAAAGGGACATATCATGACTCCACGCAGTACAAGTGTCCAGAACAGTACTCTATACCCTGCAGACACACCCACACAAAACTTGTTGACAGCTATCTCCACGCCTATCGCTGCAGTATTCCTAGTTGACTCTGGTCTCTTAAGAGTCAGAAGTGGATATGTTAAGAGAGTCTTTGCTGGAGTCAACAGCTATTAAAAAAAAAAAAAAAAAGGCACCATTAGCAAAAATCAGGTGGGGGGGTGTCACATAAAGCTTGTCACACAGTGGGGAAATAAAATTAGACACTGAAGCACAAAGTGGATGAAATTTGATGTTTTAATCTGTAAAATATCTGCTGGGGAAAATAAAGATGTAAAAAGAGAATTTTGGATTAACTATTCAGTATAGATGATCTGATCGTCAATCACAATACATAATCCTATGTTGTGCTGAAAAATAGCACTTTTGCACAAGAAAAATGTAATTACACTCACTCCTCACTTATCGACATGTTAGGTTCCAAAGACCAGGTCATTACACACAAACATGGAGGATGACTACATCAGATCACAAAAATATTATATGGGATGCATATGTCCCTTTGGACCCGAGATGCAGAAAATGTAGGTGGGCACTATGTGTTCCACTGGTCATGAAAGGGTTACTGTCAGGTATGGGTTGTTAATGTGCAAAATAGTAAATTTTTTACTATTGTCATAAATGCAAAATGTCAGCTAACAAGAAAGTTGATAAGTGAGGAGGAGGTGTATATAAAATTTAAAGGTAAAGACTGTTTTCAATAGGATGGACGGAATTTTAAAAAGATGTAAGTGAATACTTCTCAATAATCTACATACATGACATTTACTCTTTGCTTCTCATACATTGTCTCCCAACAGGTACAATAAATACTAACACCTTGTAAGGTTAACAAGAATAAGATAGAAAATGAAATCTGATATTAGAGTAAAATTAGAATAAAACTTTTTAGTCAGCTGTTTCAAATCTTTAGAAATGAATATATTTTAATTCTATCTGCTTTCCCTCAATAACTCCGTATTATTACAAACCAGTGAAATGTAGAAAGAATAACATTGTTTACACAATAATTTATTACAGGACAAGCAGTTCCAAATTAATGAATGTGTATATATTGTAGACAAATACTGTATCTATTCAGTAGCATAGATACTGAAGAGCAAGAATTATCCAAATAGGCACCTAAAATAAAATAAGCTGGTTGGCCAAATGATAACATACTAACCTCCTCACCTTATTCCTGGACCTTCTCACAAAGAGCACCACAGGCCAGACAACTACTGTATCACAGAAATGTTATATTACACCTCCCTGGCCCACACCTCTACTCCACCTATCCTTATTTGCTTTTTGTCTAGCGCCACCTCAGGAGCCACTACAAACATGATCTTATCCTGTTTGCCTCCACTGTGGATTCCAAACGTAAGCCACGGCAACTGCGGCTGTTGTTATTAGGTGCCGTCAAGTCAGCTCTGACTCACGGTGACTTTCTGTATAACAGAACAAACGCTGCCCGCTCAGTCCTGCATCGTCTTCATGATCTTTGGTATGTTTGAGTCCACTGTTATGGTTATTGTGTTAATCTACTTATTGAATGTATCCTTCATTTTTGCTGAACCTCTACTGTACCAAACATGATGTCCTTTTCTAGCAACTGATCTTTCTGATGACGTGTCCAAATGGGATAAGAGGACGAGAATCACACCAAAATGTATCCTCTAGCTCCACTCCCCCCACCGCCCACGAAAAAAACCCCAGTGTGGACAACCTAGAACAATAGTTCTCCAAGTGTGGTCCAAGAACCCCTTGGGGTTCCTAAGACATTTGGGGGTCCAAGAGGTCGAAACTATTGTCCTAATAATACTAAGATGTCACTTGCCCTTTTCACTCCCATTCTCTCACAAGTGTTGAGCTTTCCAGACATGAGATTGCAACTGATTGAATGCAGAAGCAGATATGAGAATCCAGATGTCTTCCATTAATCCAAACACTAAAGAGATGTGCAAAAGTGTGAAACAAGGCTACTCTTCTCACTAATTTTTGTTTGGGTTTTGGAAAATAGTAATTTTTCATAAAGAATTTTATTTATTTCTATTTTAAATGAATTAATATATATTTTTAATTTTCAGTCTCAATTTCTAATATGATAAATACTGATGTATCCCACACAAATCAAAGCTTCAACAATTTTTAAGAGAGTAAAGAGGTCCTAAGACCAAAAAGGTTGCTAGCCTAGAAGATATTGTGGACAGGTACTGTATTAGAGTTTAGTAGTATATGCATGTGTGAATTCAGAGACACACACCTTCCAATCTACTTGTTTATGCAGTGTTTGTTTTGGGGGGGGGACCCTTAAACAATAATAACCAAGTAATATTTAAATCCACTAGAGAGAATTGAGTTCCAAAGGAATCTTATTGAAGGTCATAGCCCTGAAGGGCCTCCCTCACTCAAACTTACAGAAGCTAACAAGGGGTAAAACTGAGACTAGATCCCAACAATTTTTGTTAAGCAAAAAAATAAAGTAAAAAGTTCATTTTTGTCATAAAACTGAATTACCATTTATCAGCTCTCTTAAAACCAAATATTCCTGTAGATGGCTATAGCCTCAAAGTAAACAGTATTGACAGCACCCATATTTGATGTCTATAAGTCTGTCACGTGTTCAAGTCAGCATTTTGGATCTTAGTCACCTAAAAGCGACACCAGTCATATGGGTAATTCTGAGATAATGATTACGAATAAAGTTTTTCCCTTTATAATTTTTAACTGATTTTTCTTTCATTACAAACGTAACATATACACCAAAACCAAACTCGTTGCCATCCAGTCGATTGCGACTCATAGCGACCCTACAGTCGCTACAGCATGTACAAAACCAAAAAACCCAAACTCGTTGATGTTGAATCGCTTCCAACTCATAGCGCCCCTACAGGACAGGGTAGAACTGCCCCATAAGGTTTCCAGGGAGCAGCTGGCGGATTCGAACTGCCAACCTTTAGGTTAGCAGCCACAGCTCTTAACTACCGCGCCACCAGGGCTCCATAGCATGTATAGTGTGTAAAAATTGAAAAACTTACACTTCTGTTCTTAACCCCTTGTTTTCATGGATGCCTAAGAGTATTCCAGGATGTTAGCTGGTCTACTGCTACAATCAACTCCTCTTGTAAGTCAGTTAACAAAACTGTAGGAGTGCTGTTAAACGGAGTACTGTAATAACTCTTCGGATGAGCAACAAATTTGTAATGATAAAGGTAATACAGAAGAGATGGGGAAAAGGACAAGAACAAGCAAATTAAACTTCAAGTACCATTTCAGCCATTGCTGTCTGCACCACTCACTAGCAAGGAAAAAGCCTTGCTTGTGTTCCGCGGGTTTTCTGCGTGTGTTTTAACTTGATAAAGCAAAACAGACCTTCTGGGATTAACTTTTTCTTTTTCACTGCAGGTCACAGGCTCATTCTTTACGTGTAGGGTGTTGGCCACCTGTTCTTCCACCACCATCCCTATCTCCACCTCCTCCTTTGTGGCCACAGCAATGTCACAGCCCATACATGGGGGAGGGGAACAGTCAGGAACTCGGCTGCAGATGCATTTTTTTCCAAACACAATACCCTTAAATAGTGGTCTCTAAGCACTTTTCTAAGCTCTTCCAAAACGTGACCTCCCCTCTTACCCACACATCCCCCTACACACTGAAAAGGCCCACTATCCATTCAGCCAGCGCTCGAAGGAGAAGTTTATACCTTCGCCCTAGGGATGCTAGATACAGCACAGAAAGCAGAAACCAAGGCAATCGAGTGCTGGGGAAGGGAGGAAAAGGTGCGGGAGCAAAAAGAGAGAGGGATAGGGAAGGACGACGAGGGGAGGGGAGATTGGGGCACATCGGGAGTAACCTCCACCGCACCGGACCGCCCCGAGAGGCAGCCGGCCCGGCCCGCGAGTTTCTCCCCGGCCGCCTCCAGCCGCGGCTCTCGGGGAGGAGGAAGGAAGGGGTTCCCCGTCCAGGAAGCAGCAGAAGCGGCGGCCGCCTCTAGCCTCACCCTTTTCAGCCCCACACCGCCCATTCCTTACTCCCCGCGTCGCCGCGTCCCCGCGCCTCCCCCTGCAGACCACCCCCCGCGCGCCCGGGCTCCGCGCCGGCGCCCCCTCCCCGCCCCTCCCGGGACCCCTAATTCATTCACTCGCCGCCGGCCCCGCCCGGCGCCGGCGCAGAGGCTCGGGACCGGGGCAGGGGCCCAGACGGGTGGTCGGCTCCGTACCTCTCTCCCGCACCTGGGAGCCGCCGAGCCTCTGGCCCCCACCGCCGCCTTCAGTGCCTGCGCCGCGCTCGCTCCCAGTCCGAAATGGCGGGGGCCCAGAGTACTGGCCGAGCAGCCGCCACCGCCGCTGCCGCTGCTGCTGCCTCCGCCGCCGCGGCCGCCGCCTAGGGAAATCGAGCTCCGAGCACACTGATGAGTTCGGGGCCGGGCGGCCGCAGAGGGCAGAGCTATCGATGCGTTCCGCGCTCGATTCCTCTTCAGGCGGGCGTGCGGGGAGGGAGCGGTCGAGGGCGGTGTGGGAAGAGGGAAGAGATGGAGCCTGCGAGCTCCGCCAGGGAGAAGGAGGGGGCGGGCCGACCGAGGAGGGCGGGGGGACCTGCTGGCGGCGGCGGAGGGGGCGGACCGACGGAGGAGGGTGGGGGCCGGGCGAGTGTTGGAAGGAGGGGCTGGGGTGGCGGAGGAGGGGGCTGGTGCTGCGGAGGAGGAGGGCCGGGTGGCGTGGGCGGTGCCTCCGCAGGGAGGAGGGACTGGCGGACCCACGCGGCGGACCGCCCCCAGGCTCCAGTCTCCGAGTGGACCCGGCATCCGCAAGATTCCCACTCGCACGGGATCGCGGTTGGCTGCGAGCACACCAGAGGCACTGTAAAGTACCCCAGTGCACCGCTATCAGGTCTGCACAGAGAAGCTACGAAAATCCCGCCACACCCTGGGGTAGGCCTACTCCTGAGCACGTTCATTTACTGTCATTTATTGTATGTAAATAAACATGCAGTCACCAAAAGTGGAAAGCGACTTAGGCGACCTAGGGAGGGACGAAGCAGACAGTTCACCCCGGGGCACCGAGATCGCCACCTGATTTTATCGGTATCGGGGACGGATTACCCAATAAACGAGGCACCCGTGCTTACTAATCGGTAGTGCACCATTTCACCTGGTTTTATGTGGTGAAATGGTGCACTACGGATTAGTAAACACAATGAAGCCCGTGCTTACCTCGCTTACTGTAAACCGGTGCGTACCGTGCTTTCTGCTTAATCCCTGATCAGCATAGACATTCTGGGGCTCGGAAGTAGCTCCAGGCCCAAACAACCCTTGCATCATTAATTTTACGGGATGGAGCTGGTTTTCCTTGATATTTTGAACACATCACAATGTCTCTCCAAACAGGCACCTCAGATGTACCCATTACTCACGAAAGCCCAAGCAGAGGACAAACTATTTTTAAGTCAAAGTGTCCTTGATAGTTAGATTCAAGGACAATCATTGAGATTTTAATTAGGAGACTGAAGATTAATCCGTGGACGTTCACAGAGTTAACACATTAACAATGGAGCAACTAAATGTGCTAACAAACCCAGAGACTGTGCTGATTAACTACCTAAAAAAAGAACCGTTGCCCTCCAGCCGGATTCCAACTCTAGCGAACCTGTAGAACAAAACAGAACTGACCCACAGAGTTTCCAAGGAGCAGCTGGTGGATTCGAACTGCCAGCCGTAGCTCTTAACCACTGTGTCACCAGAGCTCCAAGTAACTACCTAGAAAAGCGAGTTGTTTGCGACACTTGAAGACTGAGGTGTGGCGGACCAGCACCTACACTTAATATAGACCCATCTGAGTACTTCCAGTTCTGACCCTTTAGTCCACAACATACACCACCAATAAAACAATTGTTTTAAATCCCAACTATTGTGTCTGTTAACCAAGGCCTTACAAGGCCAACTTTTCTTCCTTTTTTCATTTCTTCCTACCCTTTATATCAGCTGTAATCTGCAAGGCTTATTCCTGTCTCACTCTCTTAACACCCAGGCATCAGATAGCAGAGGCAGAAGAGAGAAGTGGAAGGCAGGGAATGTGCCTGCTCTATGTTAACTATACGCTAAATGTTGTGCATGTATCTTCTATAATGATCACAACAATCTCATGAAGTAAAACATTTTTCTCTATATAACAGAAAACCAAAAACAAACAAACAAACAAACCATTGGTATCAAGTTGATTCCGACTCACAGCCACCCCGTAAGACAGAGGAGAACTGCCCCATAGGGTTTCCAAAGAGTGGCTGGTGGATTTGAGGTGCTAAAGAGGAAACAGATTTAGAGACGTTAAATATTGGGTCCAAGTTCACTCAAGCTAAAATGTGACACGTCCTTCATGTCAGATCATGTTCTCTCCTATGCTCCCAGCTCCCCAGTGGCTTCCATCCCACCTGACATAAAAGCCAGTCTTTTCCCAGGCCTACACTGCCTTAGATGATTTGCCTTCTCTCCCCTTACTTCTCTTATCCCCTTATCCTACCTACCTCTTATCCTGTGATTCTCCCCTTCCTCATTCCAGAACACACATACTGGGTCCTTGCTCTTCCTGGAACATTTCAGGCAGGCTTCTTCCTCAGGGAATTTGCACTTGCTGCCCCTATGTGTGGAACACTTGTCCACTGTATACCCACCCTCACCTACTTTAAATCTTTGTTCAAATCTCTTCTTTTAATGAGGTCTTCCCTCAAGATAATCCTTGATGTTACAACTCCCCTTCTTTCCCCCAAATCCTCTCTCTTCCTGCTTTAGTTTTCCCTAGAGCACTTATTACCTTCTAATATACTATATGGAGTCCTGGTGGCACAGTGGTTAAGAGCTATGGCAACCTATGGCTGCTAACCATTCGTGAGCAGTTTGAACCCACCAGCCACTCCTTGGAAATCGTATGGGGCAGTTCTACTCTGTCCTGTAGGGTCGCTATGAGTTGGAATCGACTCAACGGCAACAGGTTTGCTTTTTGGTTTAATATACTATATGATTTGATGATTTTGTTTTCTTTTGTCTCTTTCTCCCAATAGAATACAAGCTCAAAGAGGACAAGGATTTTTGTCTGTTATTCTTACTGTATATTTTCAGTGCTTACAACATCTCTGACACAGATAAGACACTGGTGGAATGGTGGAATGAATGAAGTTATGTACCCTCTTCCTGAACTCTGTGACTCCAAATCCTTGCTTAGAGTGCCTTAAGCGTCTGCCAATCTCTGTCTTCACCATTTTACAAAATCTGCCTTTAAACTCACTCGGATCACCTTTCTGATAAACCACACCCTGTGGAGTCTAGAAAAGTGTCCGGTATGTAATAGACACAATGAATTTTTGTGCAATGAATGAATATTCACTTATTTGCATGTTGCTTTGTAGTCACTCTTAAGTGTAAATCACAGATTTATTTTGTGTAGCTTCAAGTACGTGATAAGCTCTAAGATTCTCTTACAGAAGCTAATGCAATGTTCTCCCTGTAGTTGGTCCTCTATAAATCTTAAAAGGGCTGTAGTATAGAGGAGGGAAAAGCTTTAATAGTATTTTTATGCTAATTATAAAAATTCTGCCATTAGCAGAAACCGAATTCATTCACATGGTCTCAGTTATCTTCTCTAGGCTAATAATTCCCAGAGCAAATCTGCATCCCACTATTCTCTCCATGCACCCTCCACCCCAGCTACACCTCACACACTTTATCTCTCCTTCCTTTTCATTCCTGCAGCAACTTATATCTGTCCTGTCAGGCCTTTCCACCATCCAGCCCTGGGTACTTTCTCAGAAGCCAGC